TTAGGAAGAGCCCTAACACTCATGCTGTGATCACCAAATGCATTCCACATTTGTTCCAGATTTTTTTAACATTTCACTGTAAGCAACCATCCCATTACACCATTCAGTAATTTTAAAAATAAAGAACAGAGCAATAAAAATCTCCCCCAGATTAGCACAAATAGTTCCATGATTTCTGGAAGGCTTATCTTGCTATTCAACTGAGACTAGCTTCTCAAAAATCAGGAGGCGTGAACTGAAGCTTACTCCACAGACTATGGCTCTTGGATGAGCTCTCCTCTATGAAGTTTCTTGTGTTTGCTAAAATCACACTGACACCTGTCCTGCAGCTGAAGCATTAATCAAGCTCTGTCCTCTATATAGATGCCTGTGCCCATAACTTATAAAAAGCTTATTCTTCATAACTTTTCTCATTTTAGAGATCAGTCAGTAGACTCACCACTTACAGGGAGGAAACAAAGACAAACATTAATACATTCTGTTTCTGTAACAAGGAAAGGAATAACCTTTAGTTTAAGTGAAGGCAAGAACTAAAGCAGGGTGTTCAAAATATTTCCTAATGATTTCTATATTCCTTGGGGCATCCAAATGCTCATTTACCTTGATGATGGTGCAGAAGAGGAGAAGTATCATACTTAATATGATACTTCCTCAAATTTTAGGCATTCTATGAGATAGAATAGGGTTATTTTTCAAAACTTGCATTGAATTCCTGTTGCCAGCACCCATAGTCAACAATTTATTTTCAGCACAGGAAAATCTGCTAATTCATAAAGGAATTCTTCACTGGTGCAAACCAAATTTGCTATTTTTTTAAAGTCATAGTATTCACTGTGAAGGATTTTACATATTAAATGTGTTTAAATAGATATAAAAATTACTACTTTAAGGATTAGGAGGTATCAACAATATACTTCACTGCTTCATTTTAAGCACATGCAAGCCATAGTAAAAGTATCAAACATGAGTTTCCACTCTTACCATGCAGTTCAACCAATTTACCTGAACTTGTAAAATTTAGCTAATGGTAGTACACAAGGCAGGTTTGTTAACTCTCAGTCATCTTATAAATACACAGCACATACCAAGTATTTCCTTGGTCATTGATGCTTCTTTGTGTGACCTCACTATCTCCTTTCCATCTGCTCTGTTCTTCTTATAGATTTTAATTACCAGTTAGATTATGGGAAAATTTAAGTCCTCATTGCATCGTACCAATTATGAGTATTAATTTTCATGCTAATATTCCTTCTTTTGTTTTGAATATCAATTACTATGAACTGCTCAAAAGAGTATTGAAATTCAGAAATTCTGAGGAGGAACTGATCTGTAGGTCAAAGTTCACATTATTTTTCTACCAAAGATTAACTGCCACACATTTGTATTTCTACAGAAAATTCTAAACCAAAGTTCATCATATTCTTAACATAAAAACTTCAAAGATTTAACAGATAAAGTGAACTTGGGTCTTCCAAGTAGTTTACTTGACTTTAGATGATCTGAAAACAGAGACATTTGGAAACTGGAACCAGTTTCTTCCATCTCTGATCACCTCCATTTCCACAAATGGCTGATAATGTAACACAGCCCTGGAGTGACAGCCCCAGTTTCTGCATGTTAGTTACACAGTATGTGGGAGCCAGCTACGAGTTACATGTTTTGAGATCTCTTTGGCCTGTTTCTGGTAGTCTTTCACAAAAGTTTACGCATTTCTTTCATCAAGCAAAAAAGAAGAAAGATTTTATTAGCTAATCTCTACATGGAGGCAAATATTTTACACTGACCCTCCACAGCATGTGCTATAACCACTGTTCATAAACTTCACTGCCTGCCAACTTTAACAAAGAAGCACCATCCTTACGAAGCAGAGCACCAAATTAAATTAACTGGTATCAGGAACGCAGACAAGAAAGCGTTTGTGTCTGCAATGCAAAAGAGCTGCTGGTGTTTGCATTTACATTATCATATTCAAAGGAGAGCTACCTCATTGCCTTGTTTTGGAAGACTGTCCATCTCATTGCAAATATTGCATACCTACAACTTTATTGGATTGTTTCTTGGAGAACTGGAGAAAAATTACATTTGGAAACTTCAAGGAATATGGAACATTCTTTTTCCCAACTATGCATATATATGCTGGGCACAGTAATTATTAAAATTAAAGAACTGCTGTAAAAAATATTGTTATGTTTTACTGAAAATTGGTACTTCTTCTGAATCAACTCTATGCTTCCAGTCACTGAAATGAGCTGCCTGATGGCCACCTTATAAAACCCAACCAAGCTTTAGGATTGCTTTTGTTTAGAATGGCAGAATTCCAAGTTCAATAATAATTGATAAAATTAAGTTACCACTATTCAAACAATTTTTTTTGCTAAGACTTGTAAGGGAAAAACAATCACATGCAAGTTATGGACAGAAAATTACATCAAAATATTAAATTATGCAGGTTACTATTTTTGTTTAAAATACTTAGAGATGATCGAATATAAAAAGCAGTTCTTTACTTGGGTAGCCCTTGTTGACGAAGTGTTAAAGGCATTTGCCATTCTTACAGGATAAAAACTAACGCCTTGAAGTGTTACCTACTCAGGCCTTTTAGCAAATTTGTTAACACTTTTAGGTATATTACTTCACCTTTCTCTTAGTGTGAACTGATATAAATTATTTAGCCAATTTTATTATTAAATGTGAACTAAAGTGTCATTTTAGAGCACTGCTCTTTATTGGTACTATTTTAGATTTATTCAAATAGTTATAGAAAGCAAACTTGATTTATTACACAAGGAACTGAGAAATATTCCACAAATGGATACACTTTCCATTGTTTAAATGGATCTTAAACTCTGCTCTGGCTTCATGCTAATAGCACAAAAGACAATTTTGAAATACATTGTACCTATTTCAAAAAACCCCAGTTTTGCAGTGGCAACTGTGATAAAAATCCAAAGGCAGTGAACTTTAGTGCTGTAAAGGATGTCTCAGCTTTAACACACCAAACAATATGCTACTGTGTAAAATAAAAGAATAATCACTACTTATATTTATTTTTGTAACTGGAAAAATTTAAACACAAACACAGGACACAAGCAAACAATGACTGCTATCATGTTTTATTTCTTTCCCAGTAAGCTAAGAAAGAACCTTTTAATAGTTTAATTTTGTGAGTATTAAACAACTAGTGTGAAAAACAAGCTGCATGTAAACTATTTCTACTGCCTCTGCTTCAATGACTAGCTGAGGCAACCTGTTATAGGAGGTGTTAATTGGCAATAGGAGTACAAGTCAGAAGCATGTTCCCCATCGTCCTAACCCAGCAAGGCTAGGTCATTAAAGTGGAAATGAATTCTTTCATGCCGACTTAACCCTTTCACTACATATTTTCAGCTGTTACATCCAAAGACAATTGAGAAAGATCAGCTAAAAAAAAAAAAATAAAAGACAAAAACTCCCCTTGGATTACTTTTGAATTTATTCATCCCACAATTTTTCTCTACCTCCTCCAAAACAAGTGTTACAGGTAAAGACGACATTTTATTATGTAGGTAAGGGGGAGAAAGGCAACTGCGGTATAAATAAAATTACAATCATTATAAAATAATAATTTATCATATTAAAAGATGCGTGGAAGGATGAGTCACCTAAAGTGAGCTTAAAGCTACTATTTTGTGGAGTATTGTGTACTGTTGTATTGTTTTGTGTACTATTTTCAACTTTGTGCATATAACTTGGTACAAGGGAAAAAAACAATTACAAAATACTAGCTGCAGAGGACAAACATGAGCAAGTGTGTAAACATGAGCAAGTGTGCAAAGAAGGTAGAGGTAGCAATGATAGTAAGGTCTTACAAGTTCAGAGTACCACTGTTCTTCTCTACTTTTTGCCATTAAGTGGTACAACCTGCTGATATATTGATATAAAGAATAAGAAATTACTTAGATCAGCACAGTGTTTTCTACACATTGCTAAGCTTAAAAATCTAAGCAGAGTTGGGACTGTGGAACCATTTTCTTCCTGTACTGAGACAATACACTTCTGGAAATTACCAACTCATGTTCCATCAGTGGAAGTGGCAAGGGGAAAGAGGCATATTCTGGGATCTAGAAACCATGTATTGCAATTGTTAACTTCAGTACAGGAAGTTAACATAATCAGTCATGTCAGAGAAAATTATTGTAGTCATACAAAAATATTTAAAAAATCACTGAGCTCAATAAAAAATGAAAAAATATATTACTTTGCACTGTGAATCACACACTAAAATTAGTAGCAATTTGAAATTTTATTGCTCTTTTCAAGCTATTACACAATTTTGTAGCTCCACATCAACAGGATTAGATTTTGAAGCTACCACTATGTCCAAACAGTTTGTATGTTTAGGTCCATTTTTATACCAGTTATAAACAAGAATGCATAACAGTCCACAAAATACCATAAGTCTCAACAAACGGCCTAGATTTCTCGAAGGATCACATTGTCTTGTTACACCATATGTTAGATGAAATAAAAATTGCAGTAATATGTTTAGCGTCAGAGACTCCAAAATGGAGTAGGGATACAAAGGAAGTATTGTGGCATCAACTGCTACCTTAAATTGAAAAATCTCAGAAAAAAACCCACCTTAACAGGCTACATAAAAACTGTCTCAGTATGTTTTACAAAATTCTGTCTCCTAAAAAAAGTTTACCAAGGTTCACATTTACAAGAGAACTCCACGAAAAGCAATATAGATGGACTTGAAATATATAACATTTCCCATCTCCGCCCCTCTTCAAAATCAAAATTACAAAACACAGAACTTTGTATAGCTTTGAGCAGTTGGTTAAACGGGTTGGGATCATAAATTTGCCAACACCTCTTTGGTGCAGAGCCAGAATTTTACTGCTTAGATTTCTGCTTATTTAGGATTTTAGTTTCTGTGGGGCAGTGTTCTGTGGTTTTCTTTTTTAGTGTGTGTGGGGTGGATTTTCATTTGATTTTTTGCTATGGTTTTGGCAGGAGTTTTTTTCTGAGTTTTTTTGTTTGGTTGGGGCTTTTTTACTTTTTTTTTGTTGGTTTGCTAGTTATTTGGTAACTTTTAACTAAGCAGAACTTCGAACAAAAATCATCTCTAGTTTAATGAGACACTCAGAGAACATTATTATTAAAAATAAATGTTTACTACTCAATATTAACATGTATTCATGATATAAAATTACTTACATACATAACCTTGATGCAATTTGCAATAGTCAGACTTCCCATAATGCTCCCAACACAACTGTGGTATGAAATGGCTGCTTAAGTGTAATCTTCTCTGGGTCAGTGTTTCCTCTATCTTTGCCCCATTTTACACATTCACTGAGACACATAACTCAAATGGGTAGGTGTGCTGTACTACTGCAGTCAATATTCCTTACCAAGCATAGAGACAATTTGGACTGAATGACCTTTGAATGTCCCTTCCAACACAAACCATTGTATGAGTCTATGACAATGTCAGATTAGGGACACAAAACAAGTTCTCAGTAACACTATACATCTTTTTGAAAATAACTATTGCTTTTCACAGCCTCAGTCTACTGGAAGTAAAAAGAAAATACAGAGGTCGATTTCATTCCAGAAAAAAGCCAGGACTAACCTGTTATCTACTCCCATCAGCATTACAGACAGTATTGGGATTTAGAACTGAGTCTCAAGGCAGATGACGAATCAGCATCTGACACAAGATTTCGAATTTTGTCTGCCCCCTGTAGTCTTGCTCCAATGTAGATTTTTAATTATCTTATTCGAAACACAGTTCTGCCAAGAAGACAGGATAGCCCTCAGCAGGTTCTGCCTAAGCTCACCCTCATGTACATTTTGTGAGGCAAAGCAGTCAAAGATACCTCCTCAATATGAAGAAGAATGCACTGGGTTCTGTATGCCTGAAGGTTCAGTGTTGTGAAGAGCTGGTCCTCTGGATACAAGCAGGTGAACTGGGAGACTCAGTGGCAATATGCAGCAAGGTCAGTTGCCTGCAACACTTGAAGAAAACAACCAACACCCAACACCCACCACCCTCCAAACCAGACCACTACAACACAGAAACACTTCAAACTTCCCAGAAGTACTTAGAGGACTCTTCTACACAGCAGGAAGAAAAGAAACCCTCGCTCAAAGGTGATGCATAGCAGCATTGCAACTTAATACTCAATTGCATGGAATTTCTGAAAGAAGATATCATTTCTAAGAGAAAAAAATTAAACTGATCACTCTTGTTTCTGCTTGCAGAAAGGAACACTAAAAGTGAATAGGTACAATGCAAAATGCACCAAGATATCTCTTCTTCTTTACCCTTTCTTTCCTATGTTCTTTCTCATTATGGCTACATTATGACTCATTTCCTTGTCCAAGCTCCTTTGTCTCTTTTGGAGAAGTCAAAAGTCAGCTGGACTACACTGGCAATTAGATTGAGGAGAAAGAATCTAATTGCCTAATTATCAGAAATACGGAAGTTTATGATCTGAGGCCAAGAAGAGGCAGCTAAAAATGTTCTCCAGAGTAAAATAGCAGATCAGAGGAAACTGATGCTCAGACACAATCCACTAGCTTTTTTAGTTTTAGCTTTATGTATGTTTGTGATTAATATGTAGGACATGTCTGTAGTGCAGCCATCCTACTTTAAGACAGCCGTTATAAAACAAATTACACACAGTGTTTAAGTAAAATTATGACTGCTCCTAAACCAATTCTAGCAGGTTTCTCTTTTCCTCTCCCAATTAGCTCCTTAAGAGACAAATCACATTACAATGAGTCAACTGTACTTCAAATGTATGCTACCTCCAGCAACTTTCAAACAAGCCTAATATGACCCATGGAGTTATCTCCAGCAAAACCAGACCCAGGCCACACCTGGACCCTAAATTTAATATGAAGTTTTCATTGAACAGCCCTGTTCTAAAACACTAAGCAGTGCAGTAAAACATTCACCCCAGACAGTGAAAGTAAGTGAAACAGCAGAGTTTATTATCTCTAAGGTGGTTTTCTTCTCCTTAAAACAAAACCACATATTTTGTACATAAAAACTGATGTTGAGACTTTCTATGGAAGATAATGCAGGCAATTGAGTCTTCTGAACTTTCTATGGGATTTCATGTTGGATATTTTTAATGGATGAAAAATATTTGTCATTGAGAATTTTTTTTATTCCTTAAATGGGTTGACAGCTTCCAGGGAAAATAAGTAAAACTGGAATAATCCATCAAAATTGTACATCATCTCATCTGCTGGGAATTACATTTGAGTTCTAGAAATAGTAACATTCTTTGTACTTGAGAACTTTGCTGGAAATTGTCTCAGAAGCAACGGCACAGAAACTATGCACAATTTAAAGAGCTACAATTCAGATTTACTTCCCTGGCAAAATATTCTCAAAAGGTGCATTTGAAGTTTCAAAAGACGTATGAGAAGCAGACAACAGTGCACTACCACAATTCAAACCACATAAAGCATACATAACCAGGAGACACAGAAAGGAGAAAGTCATACAGCTAAACAGATATTGAGATACCAGAACACTCTACAGCTTTACAATGAAAAAGGTACTTAAAGACAACACATTTACACACTTTAAAACAGAAGCTGTTTCAAGAATCAATGAACCAAAATAATTTTCAGTAAGATGTTAATGTATTGCAGGTTTTCCTGTTTGGGTTGCTGGCATGGTACTGGGTTGTTTTCTTGTTTTGGGGTTTTTTCTGGAGAGAAGGGATGGGGGTGTCTGGGTTTGTTTTGGGTTTGAGGTTTTTTATTGTTGGTGGATGTTTTTGTTTATATAGAAAAGATGTAAGATGCAAGAAAAAGTCATGTACTTCAAATGACACATCAGCTTAATGAAGTAACTCAAGGAAATTTGCATCTAATTGTTAATTGGGAATTATCTACACAGAGCTTGACCCTCCTCTGTCTGCCAGACCATCAACTCCTCTTTGGAAGCCCCACAAAAGAGTGCACTGTGCTGTCCTCCAATAACCACCCTGAGTAGATTAACACATGAAGCAGAACCTTAGATCAGCAGCAGGTCTCCCAAGTTCCCATGGTGCCACAGATTTACTAAATAGGAAGAACATGTTCTAAAAAAGCCAAGATCCTATGAGGAGAAAAAGGTTCCACAGCACCAAGCAGTGCAGTATTTGAAACCTCTTAATCAAAGTGACAGTTTTCAAGTGCCATTTACAATGCCCTAATCTGGAAACATCCCAGCTAACCCATCTGATCAACTATTTCACAGATGGAAGCACTTGATGGCTAATTGGCAAGTCCATGATTCAAATAAAATAGCTATCTGTACTTCTTTTTCTATATTCCAAGTCAAGGTGTAAACATTCCTTATGAGACCCAGGTCAGTTCTCTATCTCCCCCTCCCTTCCCACTGGAATTTTTCCCCTTCCCCTCTGTCATCAAATATGTTAATTCAAAAATACAGAATCAGTTTTATTTTTCATTTATTGTACTAGAACAGTTATCTGCACTAACAGAGCAGTGTAAATAAATACTTTCAAAAATCTATCAAGCAATGAAAAATTACTTTAAAAACCTCATTTAAAAGTATCACTATTTCACTGCTTTCTATTACATCTGGATCAGGAAAACAGACAGCATGTGCTAGTATGGACAATAACTTGCTTAACTTGAATTACTAGTCTGTAAGTGATGGAGAGAAAAGCTTGGCTACAAATGCATGTAATTTGCTCACACCCTTTGCAGTGGGATTGCCTAATAGAGGCATATGTGGAACTGATTTCACCAGCAAACAATAGTTCAGCATACAAAATGAAGAGGAGTGTTGCTCCAAATTCCTGCCTGCTAGATAAGCAGAATGCTTTTACGTACCCCACAAACCTGTTCATTTGTCTGCAGCAAATGTACAATGCAAATTGAAGTACTTAAACCACTAGTGAAATTCTTTGGTAGGCAGTATTCCAGAGGGACAAACAGAAAAGAATGAATCAGGAAAGAGAAGATAAGTAGAAAAACCCAACACAACAAGGGGTAGAAGGAGAGAGAAAGGAGACTATATAAGTGAAGATGAACAAGGCATTGCCAAAATCTTAATTCCCATGAACTACGGGAGCAAAACTGAAGTAATAAAATTTTCTTTGGGACATCACAACCCTTTCAATCTTTTAAGTCTTTTCTAAAAGGCTTCATTTATTCATTCATTCACTCACTTATTAATTCATTCACTCATCTTATGCATTTATCACAAGAATATAAATTCAAGACAAAAAAAACTTATGGACCAGGTACTACACTAGTCATGTAAGACACAATTTCTGCATGAAGCAGTGCTCCAAAGGAGGTCACACCTCTGGCATCAAGTTCCAAACTAAATACAGGTACCTTGCCATAAAGAACACACAGTTAATGACCAAGCATACTGTCAGAAAACACCATGAATGGCTTATGTGATGCCAAAAGTTGCAAGATTCTCCTCCCTTCTCCTCTTTTGTCCACCTCCTGCCCTACTAAGACAGCCCTTTGTCCACCTATGATTAAAAGAGAAGAAATGCTTCAAGATTTCTAAACCACATGTCACTGGAAGGAAAGTTTATTGTTGAAGTATCAGTTTAAGATTACTTCCTTAAAGATTTATTAGCCATTTGAAGACAGGCTTAAGGTAGATGGGATTTAGCACTGACCACCTCTGGACACCTGAAGGCCAATCAGTCACTCAATAGCACGCTGAAGGAACAAGAAGTAAGGAAAGGGAACCACAAATTCAGTGACAGCAGTTCTCAAGTGTAATACACTACAGCAAAAGACTTGAAAAGCATATTGCAAACACATTAATTTAAAGTGCATTTGGGACAACATATCTGAGTTTGGAAATTAAGAAAACCAAGCAAACCTAAATGAGACAATAACCAGAACAGGCAATTTTGCCAAGGGGAAAGAGCCAAGTGACTGCTGCTGAAGAAGCTAAAGCAGGTCACTGAGAAAAAACGCCTTGGCAGAGATCAAATGGGAACTGTGCTGACCAAGCATCTGCCAGTACTTTAACATCAGTTACAAAGCAAATCAAACAGACTCTGCAGACTTTATGTGATGCAGTCCTCTTGCTTAAAGCAGACCCCAAGCTACAAGAAAAAGCAATCTCCAAATTATGTGATAAAATTACTTTGAAAATGCCTCTTTTGCTACCAGACTATATATACAGATGATTCTTATGCTGGCAAGAATGGTTTAGTCAGATGTTTTTACTATGTTCAACATTTAGAACAGCTGTAATACAGTAATAAGAACAAAAAGCTTCTGTTGCTTAAAAAACTCTAGTGCAAATGAATTGTAATAATTTTGCTTTCTAGCATGACAAAATATATCCAAGAAATATCTTCCTTCTCTCTTCTATCTCAAAGACATCTGATTCACTCTGGATTATCTCTCAATCTCAATTATCATCAATTGATATTCAGAATATAAGTGACCTTCCAAGGCCCTTTGAAACACTATTTTAAGGATATAAAAATATTTTATTTGAAAAACCTTCCTGCTGATTCAATAAACCAAAAGACTACAAATGTAGTCAAGATATCCAGTGCAAGCAGCAATTTGAGTAAAGAGCAATTTATATTGCTCTTTATACTCATATACTCATCAACTCATTTAAGAGACAATTCCATATTTAAACAAACACAGAGCAGCTTTGCAGGCCAAAGCTACCAGAGGAGTTCAGCAAGCTTCCTCTGAATGCTATGTTCTATTGTCTGCCACAATTTTCTTGAAAGCTTCAAGTTAAAGATGAAAAATTTAGAAAACAGCAGAGAGTTAACTGTAAATTTGAAAAACAGCTTTGATAAGCGTCAAGTTCAGAGAGGACTAAGAAGTGAAAGCTTGAGAGATTAGACTGCACAGATGTTAAAAAAATGAAGAGTCATGAAGCAGGCTGGCAGCTCAGAGGAACAAGAGAAATAACTGTTTAAGAAAGTGAAACTAAAAATAACTGAGGGCGGCTTGAAGATTCACTAAGAGAACGTGAATAGAATTTTAGCTATAAAAAGGGGAAAAAAATTATGCACCAAAAGTTACAGCTTATTTGGCAAAACATCTAGAGTCTGCAGATCAGCCTAGAATATTTCACCAAATGCTTCAGTATTAAACTACTCCTGTAGTTATACTGGACACAAACACACTATTCAGAACCCAAAAGAAGCTTGGGGTTTAGCAATTTCAACCATCCCAGAAGAAACCCTGGCCACACATTCTGAAGCCCAAGACATACAGAACTGATTCCTCCAGAACAAGAGTCTGTATTCTCAACTTAGAAAGAGATCAGAAGGCAGATGATGAAAGAGAAAGTCCAGCTACTGCAGCCAGCCAAAGGAAAGGACTACAAAGGAAATTACACTGGAGCACATTCCTTAAGGAAATAAGTCTTCCAACAGACCTCAAACAAAGAAGTTTATAATTATTTTTTCCCCTGTATACAAAGTAATTGGCACAATGTAACAAGATCAGCTTGATTTTATTTTTGAAGACTGCTGGCCATGTCAACTGATCAAGGAAAAAAGCACTATGACTTGCTGTAGAGGTAGGAGAAGCTATACAAGGTGAATAGGTCTCTCACTGGAACAGGACAGCTGCCAGGGAGGCATTCTTGCTGTGAGTAGTTACAGAAGTGAGAACAATCAACAAGAGACACCATAAAAGATACATACAGGTAGCTACAACTACCCACAATTGATAAACTCAATTCAAATTACCTCTTGAAATTTACATATACTTCAGTATCTTATAATGCCCCATTCACAATCTGATCCAAGAATTGAAATATGTTATTTATGAAAGAGCAGTGGATATGCTTGCCCACTTAGAATATCCTTCATGTTCTGAAATTCCATATTATTATAAACTGATGTTTTTTTTTTAATGTATTATGTGATTGCAATACTTTTCAATGCAAATTTTAAAATGCTCAGACACAAAAAGAAGGGTTTATAAACATTCTGTAAACTTAGTGCCAACACATGTATTCATGTTTACAAAAAAAAGTCAGGTTTTAACAAAGATATGCATACACATATAAAATCTCTTGAGTCAAAGATTATTACTATGAACTCTGTTTTTTGATGCTGTTTTAAAATATAATAGTATAATAGAAGAAATACTCCAGAATTTATTAATTTTAAAGAAAAGACTGATAAGCTATATACTAACCTGTCCCAGACCAGGCATACCTCCTCCCAGTCGCAGAAGTCTATCCATATTTCTAGAAAAACAGAAACAAAGGAAAAATGTTCCCAAGCTTGAAATGTTTACTAAATTGTTATCTATATAATTCACCTTCAGTCACTCAGTATGTCAAAAATATTGGTGGTAATTACAACACAACATCAGACTTCCTGTTAATTAACACCACATATTAATTCAAGAAGCTGTCTTCCATGCTAATTAACAGACTTTGCTTTATTGCTTTGCTTTTGGGTTATCCCCATTTCTGAAGACAAACACTCTTGTCAAACTTCTCAAAACTTTCCCATCATTCAATTAATTGGGGGATTTTTTTTGCTTATGATCAGTACCTACAGCCAGAAAGTTCCTAAAACTTATTAGATATACAATTGAATTTACTTTCGTTTGCTCAGAAATCATCAATAAAAATCTTAAAGTAAGGATTTTAGCATCCTCATTAGTAAGTTCCGTGCTAATTAACTTACAGCTTGTCAGTTATCATCAAAACTACATGTGAAAGACACTAAGCAGATTATGGATCTCTGAATTAGCATCAAAAGCTTTTTTTTAATGAACTCATTATACTAAAAGAAATACTGTAAAGTAAACATTTAATGTGTATATAGTTAGAAGACTAGTGACAGTACAGTCATTTAATACATTCTTGCATGTGCCATTGCTTTAGCACAAGATTATTCCAATCAATGAAATGTCTTCCTCTAAAAAAAAAAAAAAAAAAGGCATTAGTTTTTGTCTCTTGTAACTTTGAAGGGGTGATCCCCAGGAAAAAAGGCTGCTAAGGCATCCAACCAAAAAAATTACACTGCTGTTTTTTCTCTACAGTTTCTTCACTTTCTGTTGTTGGAAAGACATCTACAATTTCGTGGTGGATACCCAGGTACAGGTTCTGCCCCAGCTTTAACAGAACTTTACCACACTTACTTGGCTTTTTCAGCTTAGCTCTATACAACAAAACTTATGGATAAAATTGAAAAAAAAAAGCCTACTGAATATTAATTTTTAAACATCTGTTTTCATCAACTCAAGCAATTTCCAAGGCTTATAAAAATTAGAAAATTTTACTGGCATATTTTATTTATGAAATAGAAGATACAAATCACAGCATCAAAAATTATGGTCTTAATTGGACAAGTTTTAATAAAACACAACAAAGCCTATTTAGGCTTTGAAAGCAATTGAGAACACCAAGTATGATTTCCAAAATACATTCATCCTCCAAGCAGATGTCACATTACACATAAGAGAATTATATACATGATCTCAGATTACATTAACAATACTAATTTAATAGCCTTCTTTTGAAATAATTATTCAAAAAACTTGAAACATTTATTTGCTTCATATATGAAAAAATCTTCATGCTGAAGGTGAATGTCACCATCATTTTCATAATTTCTTCTGATATTTGCTAGATTTTTTTACTGGCTAAAGACTAACAAGCCTTATTTCACTATAAGGTTAAATCAAATAGTTTAAACTTCTAAACACATGAAGAAGCAGCATTTTACTTCATACTTTAATAACTTCATAACAATAGCCAAGATATATTAATAGAAATACATGTCCTACTTGCTAAGTTCACTTTCCCAGTTCAGTGAACTATCAGGCTATAAGTTTAATATAATTCAGCCTCTTGATTCTGTACAACCTGCAAATCCAACAAGTGCAGCCTCACCTAGCAGTAAGTACTTTCTTAAAGCACCACTGGTACCATATAAATTAAAAAGGAGTTTATTAAAGGTTATGGGGTCATGCTTCACTTCTTCAGCAAGTCATTGACGCCAAGCTTCTTTCTTAGAGGCAAAAGCTGCATACAGTGTACAAGCTTTTCTATCTTGAACTACAATAAATTTCAAATCAAGCTGGAGGATTTCCTTGGAAAGGTTAAGTTGCTGTTTAAAGATATTACGTAAGCATATGTTAAATGGCTTCAATAAAACAGTCACAATGTTACCACAAATTAACGCCAACTACAGCTCATGTTACCCCTCTGTGGTAGATACTCCTCCATTGAAACCCACAAGGATTCATCTTCTGTGACACTAAAGAGGGCTGAAGAGTAACTGAAAAGTATATTTAAGCTACTAAAACTATTATTTTAATCCATAATGGTTGCTCATTTATTTTAAGGAACTTTTAGTCTCTACACTGGTAACCCTGAAACTGGCAGTTCTGTCAACTACAGCAACTTCCATAAACTGATGAGGTACATAACCTATGTACATTTAAGAAATAATAAATAATAAATCCTATAACACAAGTGAAAAGCAATAGTTCGTACTAATTCATTTTTTATTTACAGTTCATTCCAGTTTCTAACCCAACAGCGTAGTACATCATTTATAAAAGCCATATATTTTGGCATATCAGAGTTGGATTAATCTAAAGTGTTAAACAAATTGACTACTTATCAGCATAACTTTACAGCAAAATCTCACTGTATTACAGACACCTAATATTTCTCACAGAATAGTCATTGAACTGAGATATTCAGATTTTCAAGAGAGCAGCACAGACTGAAAGTCTCCAAAACACAGTTCTAGATGCACTGCAAATTATTTCACTAGCTCCATGACATTATTCTGGTTACAGTTTTGGCAACTAATGTTTTACTTGCCTATTTGTAACTGAATATGCTTTAGTAGGCTATAGTCTATATGGACCTAAATATGTTTGTTTACTGACATATATAAACATCTGAAAAATTTAAGTTTATGAAATACATTCATCAAAACCGATTTTAATTTTTGTTAATTCATCTGAATATTATTTCAGTAATAAATTCTATTTCTCAAACAATGCTTTTGTAAACCTTTAAACAGGTTAAAATAGGGAGATTTTTAGACATTAATGAAGCTAACTTTAATCTTTATAAATAAAGCAATGATACATTTCTAACCTGGTGTTCAGCAAGAGGTGCTCACAGAACAAACTTGGCAGTAGCTCCCACTTTTTGACTGTAAAGATGACACCAGTAGGTCTCTTTCCTGTAGAAGGAAATTAAAAAGGAGAAAAGCAGAAACCCAGTAAAATTTAGAAACCACGGCACATATAAAAAAGAAATGTTACATTGATAAGCTGCAAAAGGACAAGGCACTATTGAAGAATAACCCAAAGAATGTTAACTGGGCTTTTTTTTTCCTTTTACCAAACAATTCCTTGGAGTAGTACATGCCATGTCTCACTCAAGTATCCATAATACTGCAAGAAGCTTCCAATTTTCACAATATTTTTTAATATTAAATTCTAAAAATATTTTATTAATTCATTCAAGTAATATAAAACTAATTTATCCTTTTAAATGCTGTTAGAAACTGAAACCATGGTC